GTCCACAGTTTCAATTGATCCTCTAGATTAGTATTACTCATTTGTGACCTTAAGGGCATCTTGATTTGGGTTAGGTAGGAGAATGAACATTTGCAGCAATAAGTGCTTGAAAAGCTAAAAAGCATTTTGGGGGCAAGATGTTGAAGTTGTGGGTATTCTATTGCATTTTTCCATATTTCAATTAAATCTGTCTTAGCATCAGCAATTTTAAAATGCTATCTACTGAAAACTCAATCAATTCCATCTGTAGTTCTTTAGGTGCCTTGGTAATATCATCTAGGTGATGCTGAAATGTTAATTTGAGTGTGATGTCATGATTCTCAAAGTCAGTAAACCTTTAATTGTATTCTCCAATTAATAAGTCTATGACAGTTGTGTATTCTTCAAATGATTTGCATATCTCATCCCACTCATCAATGACCTTTGCTAACTGGGGAAAATGTTCATACAAAATTTCCTTTTGAAGAAACAGTATTTTGAAAAATGATAGCTTTTTGGAAATGCATGAATTTTTTTTTTTTGCCACATATAGGCATATAGACTTATAGACATATAAAGTTAGTTTTATTTTGCAAAGAAATATTCAAGTCGTTTTGATTTGACATGATATCACACAGAAATGCTGCATTCCTATGGAAATTTTCTTTCAATAACTCACATTGCTGATTCTGTTCTTCCTAAAATTTAACTATCTGTTTCACAGAGCTAAAATTTTGGACTACAACCTTCACACTTTAGAATGATACAACAAATGGCAAATCAACACTGAATACCTCATTGTTCAACTTTAGCATGTTATGAAACTGACGATGCCATGTTGCCTTTGCTGGAATATAGTTAACAATATGTATTTTTTTTTCCTAGCTTCTTTTCTTTTCTCTTTTTTTTTTATTTTTTTATTTTTATTTTTTTACTTATTATTCTAGGGTTTTGTGGGGGTACAAACATTATAGTTACACTTTATGTCTTTAAAACTTGTTGCAAAGTGTCACTTAAACTAGTAGCTTTAGCACAGAGATTTTGCTGAGGCAAGATACAATGAAAAGAAATGAGAGCATCTGGATCTATTAACACATTTTTTAATCTGTGCAATGGACCCTTCATGTGTTCCTGTCATGAATGGTGCACTGTCTGTACATACACTCACTAAACTTACCAAATGCAGTCCAATTTCAGGACAGTTAACCTGGAAAGTTGTTGAACATATCTATTCCCCGTGCTCTGTTCACAAGAGAACAGTTATTCCCCAAGTGAGTAACTTTTTGTATCAAAGAAAATCTTCTGCTATGACCCATATCTTCTGCACTGAGTCAGTAGTATCAGTTGATTCATCCAAAGTGATTAAATAATATATATTTTTCTTTTGAAGTATTGCATGAATTTGTTCTGTTAAGTTGAAAGCTAATTCATGCTGCCTATCAGTTATGGTTCTCCTTGAAAGAGGCATTTGTTTGTGCTTTGTAATGTTATCGGGTTCTAAGCATCCTACAATTTCATCAATGCATTCTTTCACAATTGCTACATCACTGAATGGTTCTCTTTTTTCCCGAGTATGTAAACTACTTTATAAGTTGCTTTAGTGGCATTATTTCCAGATCTTACTGCTGCTTGAAAGAATTGTCTTTGCTTTTGCTTTTCATCTTTTAATTTCTGCAGTATAATCTTTCATGCCTCTCTTACTAATTTAAAATATGTGTGGTTCTTATGAGTGTTATGTTGATGAGCATTGAATTTCATGTTGATATTGCAGTATCACAAAGCAAGAAAATCATCTTATCTTTAGCAGAAACAAGATAATATTGCAATTCCCAATCCTCACTAGACAATTCCTTTTCTTCTTTCAGTGTTCTCTTGGTCTTTTTTGACATTATGGGCTATTAAGCAGACAGAATTTAAAAATACTGTCAAACTGTGCAACTATCCACTTCAAAAAGAAATCTAGGCACTGTTGTCAAAAGCTGGTAAGAAACCGGAGTACTTGACCCCCAGAAACTCTCGCCAACCGGCCTTGTGCAATGGTGGCACCAGTCAGGTGGGAGAAGTTAGAACTAAATCATCAGCATAGCAGCCATCAATTTGGCCCTTATGGCTTATTAATGTTCCAATTGTGCTGGTCAATATGGGAGGATTATTTCATTGAAACTTATTTTATTCTTTGGTGTTTTAAATACATTCATTTTAAAAATAAAATAAAAATGTGAAAGATGAACAAAAGTGTGTTAATAACCATAAAAGGATTTGTTCTGTAAAATTTGGATTCATTTAAAAGGCCGCACTTAAAGATGTAGAAGGCCACATGTGGACTTAAGTTCACAGGTACCCCACCCCTGTCCTAGTCTATGCCATTTTAGCTTATTTAAATAGTCTACCACATTAATGGAAAAAGTCGTAAAAATTGTAATTTAAAAATTGCTGAACTTTACTCAAGGATGTTCCAGGTTACTACTATCTCTCTGCTTGCTGCCTACTTTTTTCTTTTATCTCCTCTTTGTCTCCATGTCATTTGACTTTTGTTACTACTCTCTTTCTCTAGCCCATTTGAGATTTATGATCCACTTACATTCATTTCACCCTTACATTGATTTGACTTTCCTGTACCATGCTACTCATGTTACTTTATTCTTATCTTTATATGCTGTCACCATGAGCAAGTTGCATCCTGATTATGAATCTATTCAGGGCTCTCAGGACACAGCTCCAGCTAGACCTAAGGCAACCTCTGATGGGAGAGAAGAAGATGTTTGCTAATAACAGAATTCAATACATCGGCAAGAGGACTAGTGTTGAAAGTGATTTTCTTTCCAAGGCTGTGGCTTATTTAGACTAGGCCTATTAAATGCCATGCAATTTGTTATTTTCTAAAAGTGAAACTTTGAGCTCTTCTGTAGCTCTTCCATTATAGTGAAGATTACTTTTAAAGTAATTTTCAGTCACTGTGTCCTGAAACGTAGATGTTCTATAATTTTTCAGGACGTTTTTCTATAATACATACATTTTGTAAGACTGAAAGTGAATAAGAAAGTTTTAAAGGACATATGGCCAAAGGAAAAGTATTATTTGCTCATACTGGAAAGCACAGATTCTTTTTTTTCAAGATGAGATAAGAAACAAATGCAAAATGGAACATAACAAGGCATTTTATGTTTTATATCAAATTTTTTTGTGAGCTATATCATTAAAATTGGTGATCCACAATATTATTTGCTAAATAAGATTTTTCGAGAAATGTGATTATTATAGTTATTGAAAAATATTTTTTCCCTTTGAGTTTTGGGACTTTATTCATGTTGGTTATTATTATTTTCCTATTTCTTTTTATCAAATGATTTCATTTTTATTAGAAAATAATTAAGTACAGAAACAAGTGTTTCAAAAATAAATTTAAGGAGATACCTGTGTTGTTGACTTCATACACAAAGGTTGTTTTATAGAGAGAGCTCAGGACTTAGCTTTATTGTACTTCTGGCTCTGCCCTTAAATCAGTGTCATGATGTTATTCTGTTGCCCTCCAGTAGTCATTTATATTTAGGTTAGTCTGGGATTTTTCCCCAGTTGAAACAATCACTTGATCCATTTTGGTAGAAAAAATAGCAAATGCTTAGGTTCATGGTCTTTCTATTCCAAGTGGATTATTTCTATAATAATATTCACTCTGCTTTTCCTTGTATCTGCTATTTCTTTGTGAATTCATTCTATAGCAAAATAATATTTCTTTCCTTCCTTGACTGTTCATATTTTCCTACTCTGTCAGCAAAACAAATAAATTCTGTTTTCAAACCAGAACAAGACATCAATCTAATTCACTCTTTGACCTTCAGCTTCCCCTTGGCTATACAGGATTTGCTGTATCTAAGCAACCTCATCTCTAGTTTTTCATCACCAGCAGAAATGGTTCTGAAATATTGGGTAAAAATCAGAGCAGAGAAGGTGTCCCAAAAAAGAAAATGAATAATTCAGAGATTGTGAATTTACCAATGATTTTTAACATGTGAGACATCTAAGATTTTTAAAATATCTAGGTTCTTTTAATTATGAATGAATACCATCTAATGGGTCAGTTTTTTGTTTTTTTTGTTGGAAGGGCTGGTTCTTTATTTCAAAAAGACACTTGTCAATATTCAGTATCAAAACAGTTGCACTCCCATCCAGGTACTGACCGGGCCTGACCCACATCTGTACCTCCATAATATGCTGAAATAAAAGAAAAAAAAAAAAAAACAGTTGCACTATTGGTTTTCTCTTTCTCCCAATCGGCCCCAAAGAGACTACATCAAAGGAGAGTACATTTTAAGCCAATAAGCTGCAGGATGTACACCTAACAGACCTCACAAAAACCTCATCAAAAAGTGGGGATTGGGCAGGGGAAAAAACTTTAAAGATCGGCACACGCCAGCCCACAAACTGTAGAGAGCTCTCACAGCCAGATGGGGTGGCCAGGGTGCCCCAAACCCAAAGAAGCAAAGTTTCAAAATAATATAAAATTTTCAAAGCTTTGTACATAAGCTAGTCAAGATTTCTCCGGCACTGACGGATACAAAGCATGATGAGATGGCACTTTTAGAGACAGCAGCTTCAGACCCAGAAAAGGGTAATGAGATGAGTTTCATATGGTTAAATCAGTGGCAAAAACATAATCTTCTTTCTTTCAAGGAGGCAGGAGAGCAATTAAGTGGTCAACTCAAAGTAAAGGGCACATGATCCATTCTGTGAGTGGATGGGAAGAGGGTAGAGATAGGACAAACATTTGGTCTCAGAGGTCTCACCATCTTAATTTGGTCACTTCTAATGAAAAAAATAAAAAATAAAATTATCCAAAGATACCTTAAAGCTGAAAACCTGAACAGCATGTTTTTGTTGGGTTTTCTTTCTTTCTTTCTTTTTTTTTTTTTTTGGCTTACTCCTCCTGGGATCCCCTTTCAGGTTTGGCTGGTACTTTGTACAGAGCAATGAGGTTTCCCACAGTGGAGTCTTTCCCTGGGCTCTGTTTGGTTCTCAGTAAGGCAGGCCCATACCTTTCTGCCTCCTCTATGGAGAGGGCAATATACATTAAGCTGCAAAGTCAACTTCCAAAAGTGATAAAGGGGTTAGATTGCTGCATCAGAGCTGTGGAAGTATTTGGAATGTTTTACAAATGGTTGCTACAACAACGACAAAAAAGGTAATTACAAAATGTGTACATCGCAACATGCTTTTAAAGGCATTTTGCATTGTGCTCACATTCCCTTAAATGTTGTTCCCAAAGGTGCTCAGCCTCTAGCCCAGCAGGAATCTCTGGGAAGAGGCAGAGACAGTTTGGCGAAAAAGACGTGGTGTGTGGGGCGGAGGATGGAGGGGGATGGCGAAAGGAGAAAGCAGCCTTCCAGTTAAAGATCAGCCCTCAGTTTAAAGGTCAGCTTCAGGCAGGCTGGCCTCAGGCGGAGTCAGGATCAGAGGGAGAAGCGGCGGCAGGGCGGGACTGGGGTGCTCTACATCTCATTCAGGTCAAGCAGAGTCTGGTCCAGCATCCTTTGTGTACAGAGGTGCTCCTCTTTGGTACATTTCGGTTTATCTTCCAAATCATCAATTGTCTTTTCCAGCTTGGCTACCGATCTCTCAGCAAACTCAGCACGGGTCTCTGCCTCCTTGAGTTTATCAGTAAGAATCGTTATCTCTTCCTCATATTTGTCTTCTTTTTGAGAATACTTTTCTTCAGCAGCGCTCAGACACTTCAGGTCTGGTCCATCAGTCTGATCTGCTCATCCATCTCTCGGCAACGGGACTCTGCCAGTTCAGCTCGTTCCTCTGTGCGTTCCAAGTCTCCTTCACTAATCACCAACTTACAGGCCACCTCTTCATACTTCCTACCTGCCTCTTCTGCAATATGTTTAGCTTCTTTGAGTTGGATTTCCTGGCGTTCCATCTTTTCCTCATCTTTTAAGGCCCGGTTTTCAATCACCTTCATACCTCTCTCACTCTCATCAGCAGCTTTTTCCGCTTCCTCCAGCTTTTGGAGGGCAGTGGCCAGGCGCTCCTGAGCACGATCCAGCTCCTTCAACCAACTGGATCCTACGGTTGAAGGAGGCCACCTCAGCCTCAGCCTGTTCCGGGCCCGCCTTTCTCCCTCCACTTCCCGCTGGAGACACTCGGCTCTCTCCTCTGCATCATCAGCCTGCTGTTGCAGAACCTGGATCTTGCGTTTCACCGCCTCCATGGTGGTGATCCCAGCCATGGTGCCTACCCTGCTCCTGCTCGCGCTCCCATTCCTCCCTCCTCCGCTGGGCGTTAATGGGTCAGTTTAATGTGTCTGGGCCAGGCCTCATGCATAGGACTGCACAGAAGCAGCCCCTTAGGACTTTTTAAAATTGATTATCTGCACATACAAAATCAGAAAATATGGATTTATTCATATGCAAAGTCATTTTGACAAGTATATTGTTTAAAGACAAATACTTCCATCATATGCTTTTATTTTTAAATTAGTGGCTAAATATATTTGTATGACATCTCACTCTAGCTCCACTGATTTACTAGACTATCCTGAAAGCATATGCATATGCCCTCACCCTTACACACATAAACCCACAAAAATTTTCTTATTTCAGGAAGTTGATGTATGAGTCTTTTGGCAATCTAAATATCATCAATGTCATGCAAGTACTAACAGTAGCAGGCTTCTTTTTATTTATCTCATCATTTGGTCTAATTTTCTCAACTAAGAGTAGTAGGTCTATATTTCTGAAAATTAAACAAGAGAGGATAGTATTTTTCATGAGTTTATCTTCTGTGGGGAGCTTTATTTTACCACTAGATTTGTGCATTGAGAAGTCATTTGACCTATCTGGAAAAAAAAAAAAAAAAGAAAAGTATAATTTCTTTATTTCTTGCTGCTCCTTTGAGATTCAAATGAAATAAAATATATGATAAACTTTAAAACTTTGATAAATTTTAAATATGAAGGGATATAAGTGATATTTACATTACTCAGGCTCCTTAATTACTCAACATTCTGCCTTCTGAATAATTCAGTAGAAACTTAATTCCACTCACTATGCATTGTTTTTAATTGTTAGTCATACCATATATTAATTAATCTTGTCTTACAATTGTATTTTAAACTTCTTGACAAGGAAAATCACCTAAAAATAATCAGTCCTCAGTTATAGATACAAATATACTATATTTCTATCTTTGTATCTAGTTATCTATTCATCTGTCTGTCTAGAATGAGAGAGACAGAGAGAAAGAGTGAATGAGAAAGTCTGAGAAAACACTGCAAGACAGTGTTTTAGGTGCAGTATTTTAGAATATAGACATTGTGATCATACACCTTCAGGGAATTTACATTTTAGTGTAAGACAGAAAATTAAAATTTCAGTAGGTAAGTTTAGGCATTGATACGCCCTATGAATAATACAACATGTAGGAAGTAATATAAATGCAGATGAATGAAGGGGTTTTGTTACCAAAAGTGGTCCAGGAAGGCTTCTCTAAAGAAGGGGCATTTTAGTTGAGACATGAGTTATAAAAAGGAAACCTAAAGAAGTAGCAAATGCAAAAGCCCTGGAAAAGAAGTGCTTGGCATATTTTAATAAGAAAAAAAAAACAGAGTTGCTAAGAAATGAGAAACAAGGAATAAGAAACTCAGTATTGGAAGGTACAATTGGGCAAAACAGGTAGATAAAGGCCGGGGGATAGTAACCTTTCCTGCATAATGGTGGAAAGTCAAAGGCATTCAAAAAGCATAGGCTTTAAAGTCAGATTCTGCTTCAAACTACAACGCTTTCTACTCAAAGCTTTTGATGGGTTCTATAACAATAACATCATGAAAATGAAACATTTAGAAGCAGATACAAATAGACTATCAAGACATTTTAGTCTACTTCTCACCTATTCACTTTCTTTCAGTAAGTGATTGTTGGTTAATTGATTAGGACAACCTACCTCAAATATTTTCTACTTTCATAAAGTTGATCATCTGGTTCCTCTTCAATAACTTATTTATTGATTTCTTTGTCTTTCATTAGATCATTGTGGAATACTTAAAATTATTTTTTTATTTTGTTTCATTCTGGCATACTGGGGTCTTGGGTGGTTCCAGTTGACCAGCTTCCCTGGGGGTAACTTTTCTCCTTCAGTCGGATTTGCCTCAAAGATAAATCTTAAACACCATCCAATGCCCAAATGGTTTATTCTGGCAGTGCTCTTGTAAGACCAGTAGCAGGAGCAGGCCAGTAGCATGAGGAAGATAAAGTCAGGAGGTCAGATGACCCACTAACTGGGAGGGTCTCTATCGGAAGATCATTCTCAGAGTTTGGGGGATTCTTCCCCCTTTCTTATACCTGTATTCAGTCCAGGTCAGTTACCACGTGTTTCTTTAATAAAAGGAGTTTAAATTATTCTTACAAGAGTAAGCTTTGTGTTAAAGTTCGTGAACTTTGCATCTGGGCTGAGATGGACTTATTTCAAGGGCAACCAGGATTTTTAGGTCCCATTGTCATAAAGAACAATCCTGGTAATCCTTGGGCCAGGATTAGAAATTCCCAGGCCAGATACCAACCTATTGCTACATGACAGATAGTCTTGGCACTATGAGATGTTTGAGTGGGCATTATGGCTATCATTAATCTTATAGCCACGATATATCTTTTACATTGTACTACCCATTTGAAATTCCACTTCCCCCCCCATATTTAATTGCCAGCCCACTTGTTGCTGTATTTGTTCCTCAGTTAACTAAATTCAGTTGAAAAATGACATATATATATACTTTATGTTATGGGTCTTTGGATATCTTATCATAGATAACTTGCTCTTAGTTTGAATATATAGATTTAAACTGGTATTTTGGGGTATAAACTTAGCAATAGGTTTCTGAAAGTGGGCTCTCCAATTATTCAAGTTTTGATATTTAGACAGATTTCATCGTAAGAACACAATTTTGGTTTTCAACAATAAGAACCAAAAGAACACCTAAGAAAGTTCTAAGTGAAGAGCGATGGTCAATACAAAGTAAGTATCAATGAAATGCAAAGGGTTGTCTCAGTAAGTTCTTAAAGTGACATACCTCTGCTACACATCCTTTGCAATACTGCCCCTCATCTCTTTTTTTTTAAGAGTGTGGACAAAGAAATAAAAGTTAGAAAGTAGGAAAGCTTGTCAGAAAGAGTTAAAAGGTTACAAAGTTTATTTTACAGAAAACTTTTCTGAGGTGTTTGTCCTAGAGCTGGCCTGAGGTGTTATGATGAAATGTGGTTTTTTTTTTTTTCAGTCAGGCCCAACAATTGTGATTACTTTAACAGATGCTTCCATTGCAAATGTAATGGTGCCTATATTTTGAAAAATACCAACATAGTGTGAAATAACTGCATCCTATGTGGAAGACATAAATTGCTACCAATGCAGAAAGGGGAAAGAAAACCTATTACATTGAATTTCTAAAGAAAAATTCAAAAGTTTAGAGGATGCTTCCAGAGACCCTGTGGGCAAATATCAAGAATGTCATTTGGAAAAGATTTATGAAACATCTATCAATGCCCCACAGCCATCAGCATCCAGAGTTATCAACAGTACCCCGTTGTAGTTTAAAGTAATAGCCTCTATTCCAAGTACAAAATAGAAGTCTGAAAACAAGTTTGGGTCATACTTCTTTCTTTCAAATGTTAAAACCAAGTGTTTCAGTTTGCCCTTCCATAAAAAGAGCCTCATCTCCCAGAGTCCTTCAATAGACTGGGGGATTTAAATGTTGCTAATGGTTTGGTTTTGGGGAAGTTCCTGTTTTATTTGTGATTTAGAATCTAGCTGTGGAAGTTGGGTGAGAGTGAGTGGGGAACCATGCTATGGGCATTTATTATACATGCTCTGCCAAATGTTTTACACTATTCGGTGAGGCAGACGTAATCCCACCAAGTTTATCTATCAAAAAATGAAACTTTATGTTTGCTCTCCTTATATTCTTGGGAAATTCAGGTTATATGAGCTCTCTAAAGCATTGAACCCTTATGTGGCTAGTGTATTCTCATGTGCATTTCCATCTTAGTATTGTTTTATAAATCTTATATTTGTCAAAGTGAGACTTGCATAATCTCTACAAATTCTTATCCTTGCTGTTTAAATCACACAGAATAACCCTGGGGTGAAACACTAGGTCTTGTTGGTAACCAGAGGGTGCTTATTCTTCTTCACCCAATTTTTAATAACCAGAAAGAGATTAAAAAAAAAGTTTTAGGTATTTTGTGTCTCAAATCAACATACAGTGGGATAAATTTAGTCTTATCAATGCCTGGGATAAAGTATAAATAATGATACTTGTCATCGAAATGAGTTATTTATATTCCTCTTTTTGTTAATTTCAGGAATGTTTTGGAGAGAATATAATTAAGGGCAATATGCTTTTTCCCAGAAGTTGATGCATAAATGATTTCTATGTTTAAAAATTTCAGCGTATCAGATTAAATATAACTGGAAAATGACATTATCATCTCTTTCTCTAGCTCGTATTAAATGTCTACTTGGTCTAGTAAATTAAATTTTACAGTGTTAGGTGTGGTATTGGAGAGATGTCCTTATTGTTTGGCTCTTAGCTTGGAAGAATTGCAAGTAGGGCTGGTGCGACAGAGAGATGAAACATGCAAAGCAATTCCACACAAGCAGTCTTTACTGCAAAGCAATATGTCAGGTACAAACTAAGTTACTAACTGGAAAGAAATAGTAATGGTCATGCTCTTCATTGTACCTATATTCTAGATCAGAAATAAATTTATACATAATTAAAATAGTAAGAAATTTAAAAACTAATTTTCATCGAATGTTCACCTGGAAGAATCACTGCAAAGCCCTCTAAAGTTACCATAATTTTTAATCCTAAGAAATGCTCCATGATTATATTCATATAAAGTTAATTGCTATAATTCAATACATGAATTGATGTAAATTAACATACTATTATACACTTACAATGATGAAATTCAGAAATATGTAAGTATTCACATAATGAATAAGTTGTGGTACATAGTTTCAGACCTCGGTAGTTACTAGCTCTGATGGCAGCATGTTTTCCTCTGGACTGCACTCCTTTATATTATATTATGATAAACTAAGAATATGAAAGTTCTGATCAATAGTGTATTGCAAGCGAAAGCATATTGTTGTGGGCATAGTGAATGAAAGCTTGTCTATCTGGAAAAGTTAGAGAAGGCTTTCTCTCAAACTCTCAATTTTATTTACACATGAAAACAGTTTTATCTAACCCTTCTCTTATCTTATTTCCCTGCTCTTAAACCTAGCATAGGTTTGGGTTGAAATGAATAGAGTAGGTCTGGATTGAATGGCAGGGAGCTTTAACTTTATCTGCGGCCCTATTGAAATACTTTTGGAGATACAAAAATGGATGAAATATTGCATAAGCACTGGAAACGAGGGAGCTAAGTCTGACTTCTGCTAACACTAGTGTAAGATTGCTATAGTCTTGAAAGAGAGAGGGAAAAAATTTATAGACAGGGATACAGGATAGATTTTCAGCCTCCCCACGAAAGACTTATGGAAATTTTGCAGTCAAAAGAGCAGCAATCATCAACCGCAATATACAGGTCTAAATACACATGAACCCCATGAAAGATTCTGCACTATTAGAGGAGAACATTATTGTTCAAGGTAAAAAGGGGGGTACGCATGTCTTTAATAAGACTTACTAGAAGACACACAAGTGAATTATAAAAAATATGTTTTGGTTACAAATAAAATATAATAAAGAATGTAATATATAAAACCTGAGATTAAAGGTGAAATAAAAATATTGATACAGAAGAAAATAAAAGTTAAAGAGTAAAACTGAGGAGATTAAAAGCAGAAAAATAGAATTTAAGACGGAGAAAACAAAGATGCAAAACCACTAACTAATAATAACTAATATTTAGAATTTGATAAGGTTATGCTACATATCTTACTAGCATTTCCTCAGTTAATAAGCAAACCTCTTGGTAAAGAAGGTAATATTACTCTTTATTTTATAAACAAGAAAAGGGTGAAGCTCACAGAAACTAACTTGGAAGGCAAGACACAGTGATACAGTCTGTAGCAGTCTGGTTAACAAAAGAATGCTCTTACCATTTCGCAGTATTCCCTTACGTGTTTGAGGAAATCTTCCAGACTGCAGAATAATTGGCTAGGAAAATAAAGCAAAGAAGATCAGAGAGCCAAATAAAAATATAATCAATTTTTGTTTATAAAGAAACCAAAAAAAAGTAAGCAAGTGCAATAACAAAGACACTGTAGGGGGAAAAAAAACTTTAGAATTATGTAAAGAATGTATGTTGGCAGATTGAAAGCATTTAAAGTATGAAACACAGTTAAGACAATGTGATTAATGCTTAGAAAATTCCTGGTAAATGGTTTATTTCAAGATAAAAGCAAATTCCTACCAGACATAAAGAAAAAACATAAAGACACCAAATATTAGATAGAGGTTGCTATGCATTGAAAGGAAATATTTATGAATAGAGAACCTAAAATTCAGTAAAATTTTTATTTAATTATGAAGCAATTAATATTCTCATATATATAAGGACTCGTGTTCTTACAGAAAAAAAATACTCAGAGATATGTCAGTAGACAGATTGTTAAAGAAAAAGAAATAATTCAAAAATAAGTAAATCATGATATAAATATTTAGAGGTGAGATTAAAACCAATAAAACAGCATAAAATTTAAATGTAAATCAATAAAATGAATTTACTCTGAATATATATTTGTAACCTAATGCAGAATTCTAAAATAATTATTAAAGTACATGTATAGCATAAAAAGTTGCAATCTGGTTCATAACTCTCAAATTTTATTGATAAGGACAACAGTTTTGTGGCGGGGTGTGTGTATTTGGGATTGGGAAGTAACGAGTAACATACTAGAGACATTAATAAATGCAATTAGATGGTCTTTTCTTGTTTAGCATCCAATCATCTTTATCTCCACTAACTTTGGGGCTATTTTTCTGTAAATCCAGATTATTTGAAGCCCAATTACATATTTTAAGTCATTGTATGGCTTTCTGATACCTAGTTTTGACACACACACCCACACACAAAACACACATACACAGTCCTAAACTGCATGGCTCTGATATAGTAGAGAAAATCTGGGTTT